GGCTCCTCCAGGAGGTGATGGATAGACACGAAAAATAAAAGTTAGTGTATTACTCATGTTGGATGACATTATCAATGTTACAAAACACTTCCAATGTTATGTATTTATATTTGTTTTTCACAATTATATATAAAGTAAAAATGATCTTTTGCTATGCTCTTTTTCCAATTTTTTGCAGAGCTCATGCGAGATGAAGAAATTGTTCAAAAAGGTAGCAGTGTGGAGGATTATGATGACTCTTTAACTGCCCTATATGCAGAAATCATGCTAGGACATGATGAATATAGTGATAGGCCTTTTGTTGTGGATAAGCTAGCTACAAGACATCTATGGATGGGTCTAATAAAGATATTTCCCTTTCCGGTACTAAAGTTGTTGATAGTGCAATACAAGGCATTCCAGTTACACAGTTGTCCTGGGATAGTGAAGATGTTGGATACTTGATCACTGGTGTTCGAGAAGACAATGAGTTTCAGGTGCCTTTAGAATTCCTAATGCTTTGGTGTATGATAGGTTAGATAGTGCTCCAAAAGTTAGAATCTCGGATATTTTGGATTATGAATCAGTGTCTGAGAATGTCATACAAGCTGGGATGACAGAGAACCAAATCTTTACATAAAAATGTTGAGATGATTCAGGTTCCAACAGTAAAGAAGAGGATAAAGCTGGAATTGACATTGTTCAGAATTTCATAACAGAGGGAGTTTAGAAGGAGGAAAAGTTGTGCATCAGGTTGCAAGTAAAGAATATACTTTGTTGGGACAAGAGTTGGAAGATGATGAAAAGCTTTTAGCACAAAAAGGTCAAATTCTTGATATTAGTACAGAGGCAAAAGTTCACATCCGTCTCAGGATGTTAAGTCTTGTGAAATGTTTACACTAGCCCAAGGGAATAAAATAGAGTATCAAAATTTGGAGATGATGAATTGAAATTCTGAAAACAACATTATCTCACTTACTGAAATTTTTGGAGACAATCATAAATGAAAAAAAGTAAGGTAGACGATATTTATCAAGAAAGTGGATGTCAGGACACAATCACTAGAACTGAAACTATCATAAATCCACATAGGATAGTGAAGTTGAGAGTGTCACGCCCCGAGGCTACCCCCTTGATGTAACACGGGACCTAGGATCACGACTGACCCCAAGTTAACCCTGTGTCTGGCATATATCAAGCATACTGAGAATAACTTAACAAAACATGTACTATGCGGAAGCTAAAACAATGGAGAACTGAAAATGGGGAAAACCCTAACTAGTATGAATGTATAAAACATACTATGAGTTTAATAACAACTGAAAGATAAACTTAACAATTCAAGTTGATTCTACTACTATATCTGAAAAGCCTCTAACTAAGTTGAGTTGCTAGGACATGCACCCCCAGCTAACTCCAACCAAATTGAAAACTAAATAAAAAGACTAGAATGAAAAAGTATGTCTATTGTCCTCAAAGTATGAGGACTCACCACTGAAGCTGCTGAAATGCAGACCGGGAATCGATCTAAGCGCGATCTGGATGTTGAGTACCTGAACCTACATCATGAAAGGATGTAGCAGAGTATGCGTCAGTACTTGAAATAGACTGAGCATGAAGGATATAGATATGATGAGCCAGAGATTTGGACTCATTTGGGGATTTGTTTATATAGTTTTAGTGTCCTCAAATGCTTGATTTGTGCCATAAACTGATGAAAAATCCTTGATTTCCAGGTACATGGATTGAGGAACAAAGCAAGGACACTAACATGCAAAAAGGAACAAAACAAACTGAAAGAATGAAGAAAGGCAAGTTTGATGATCGCCAAGGTCACTTGGCGAATCGCCGAATGGCTATTTGACCGCCTAAAGTTCCAGTGTGCCAAGCCCTGATGGAAGAAACCAAGTCGGCGATAGAAAGAAGCAATCGGCGAATCACCGAGCAGTTTCGCGAAGCAATGATAGATCGCCCAAAGTTACAGGACCCAAGGATGCTGAATGAAAAAGAGTAAAGGCGATAAAAGAGATAAAAGGGTGGCGAGTGGTTCGGCAAGCCCGACTTACTTCATTGATTACCCATTCTCGGTATATTTTTGGCGACTATAAATATGTTTTTGAACATTTAGTTTAGTATCTTAGATCATATTGCTAATTTTTGAGTACCTCGAGACAGTTTTCTCTAGAGTTTTTCCTTAGCTTTGAAGGATTGAAGAACTTCACTTTTGAGAATTTGGAAGTGGGTCTTTGAGATTCATCAAATTGGAGCATTGTAAGGACGAAATCACTCTTACCCAGTTGATGGATAATCAATTTGGTAACTGTTTTTACCTTTTTATGATGTCTAGCTAAAACCCCAATTCTTAGGGTGTGATCATGTGATTATGGGATGATTTAATTTATGGGTATTGCTAATTGTTAGTTCAAATGCTATTTAAAAGTGAGTTCAATCATTACTTGTGGTTTAATTTAAGAATTGTAATTGCAAATGCAGATCTATGTTTGTGTTTTGGCTAGCTCGAGAGGGAGGTTTTAGAACTAAGATTATTGATTGATGGTTTGTGGGTATTGGGTTGACCTGGGTTTCGCTCGAGAGAGTGAATCCTAAACCCACTCCCACACATTCAACTCGAGAGAGTGAATGGATTAAGGTGTGGGCTGCTCTTATTTTGCATGTTTGTTGATGTTTGAGAGAAAATTACCTCCCTTATAGTCTAGCCTACTCACTAATATCTAGCTATTTACTAATAGTTGCAATTACCCATATGCCTATAATTCCCTATAATCGATCACATCCCAAGAATCCGTCTCTATATTGTTAATTCGTAGTTTTGTGACTGTTTAATTTGTAGTTGATAATCAAAACCAAAACCCCATATTTGACATTTGTGTCACCCCTTAATTTGAATGGTGTCTTTATTCGATAATTTTTATTCCTATGACTGATTTGACCATATTTATACTTCCCAATCAAATTTGAAACATGTACCGCTCTCTGTGGGATTCGACCCCAACTCAATTAGTTGAGTTTTATACTGATTTACAATCGTTGAACACCTAGTATTGGATGAGGTGTGCTTGAAACGTTAAATCAAGATACTAAGCTGAACAAATATATATAAGCTGGACAAAGCATAACTGAGTAAGAATGTAAATACTGGAACATAACTGAAAAGCTAAGTTGAATGCAATGACCAAGTACTAATCATAAAAATAACATGTTGAACTGAATGTTGAAGTATATATTGAAAACCTGGTCAAATGCACTAAGAGTCTGACTGTGGGAGCTACTATTAACCGACATAAACCATGTGAGCTAAACGTGGAGTCCAATGTATACACCTCATCGAGAGGACCCAATATACCTTGCCAGGGGTATAAAGGCATGACTGGCGTGATCACTAAATCTGATGCCCAACAGAGGGGACTTATACTTCTACAGGGGCACGTAGTTCTCAGAAATGAGGGTACGCTGAACCCTAGTCCAACTCAGGGCTAAGTCTACTCCTAACTGCATATGTATATGACACAAATGTAACTAAAATGCTGGATTTCTAAATAGTTCAAAATATTGACATGCAATCTGAGAATGCAACATTTCTATACTGATAATGTAACATTTGAAATTTGTAGCATCATTATCTATTTAGTTGACCTAGCAAGTATAATTTGTGAATTAAGAGAAATCTATACAAACTAAGATTCTGAGTTTCATAAAAGGAACTAAAAAAACTTTCAAAGAAACAAGCTATTTCGATTTAGGATACTACAATAGCTAAATCACAGTAAATATCTAAGGTTTTAGAAACCCTAGGTCTAAACAAGATATGGAGAATCAAGGAATTGACTGAATTCTGGGACCTAGTGGATGAAAGGAGCCCACTAGTGAAATCTCACATACCTGGCGACGAAATCTACGGAGTAATCCTTTGGATTTCAGGGCTGAACCTTGAAAACCCTGCTGCTTGTTCTTGGGAGGTTTGGTCGACTATTTCCTATTCTTTTTGCTCCAAGTTTCGATGATTTTTGGAGAATGAGGGTTCTGGGTAAGTCTGACTAAGTTATTAGGCTTAGATTGAGTAAAACGATGTAGTTTAGGCATTAAATGACGTAGTTTAAGGGCCCAACGCATAGGAAAAAGACCTAAATGACCCTAACTTAAAGGCCATCCACGGAGGGATCTACGGACCGTCGTTTGGACTACCAAACGTCGATTGCGGTCGTGGTTCGTGGTCTGCCTGATAGGGCTTCACTAAAACGAGCGTAACTTTTTACTCGAAGCTGGATTATACCAAACTCGGTGGCGTTGGAAAGAGAATTCAATTATCTTTAACTTGATAGGTCATGGACGACATAATTCAATTTGTGCTAAAAGATATGACCGTTTGAAGTTGACCCAACAACTAATTCCCTTCAATTGCCTGCTGACCCCCACCTACAGTCCTTAGGTCCAACCACAGACCGTACTGGTCGACCGTGGGTGGGATAAGAGAGTATCAACATTTGAGCCTTAATGACAGAACCCCACCTACGGTCTGTGGGTGGTTTCGTTAGTACTGGCACTAGTTTTTCTGAAAACTAGGATTTTCTTCATTTTGAGGTTAGAGGTATTACAAAGAGCTTCGATGATAGGCTATAAATGCTGAATGTTTCTAACAACTTTGAACATTTTCCTTTTCTTTGACTTGGTGGTGGTGTGTATAGTCTGCAGATGTGATATGCTTATATAACTTTATTTAGGAAGAGCAGACCTACTATGTTGGGCCTGTGCTAGCGTGTATATATATATATATATATATATATATATATATCCAAGTCAAATTCAGATAATTAATTTTTGTTGAATATATTAAAATAATGTAAATGTGGGCTCCATTAGTACATATGTCATCAATCTTGATGGACAAGTAGTAATTTTCCTTTGTCCTCAAGGAATAAAGAATTGTATGGTATCTTTGACTAAACCAAAACTTCAAGAATTTATATGACATGTTCAACATTAGATGTTAGTTGTGAAAGAAAATGCAAGAGGAAAATAGGGTTACTCTTCATGGAATGTGGGCTAGCCCTTATGTGAAGAGAGTAGAACTAGCTCTCAAAGTAAAAGGAATACCTTATGAGTATGTGGAAGAAGATTTGATGAACAAAAGTCCATTGCTGCTCACATACAATCCCATTCACAAGAAAGTACCAATACTTGTTCATAATGGAAACCCAATATGTGAGTCCTCTGTAATTCTTGAATACATTGATGAGACATGGAAGAATGAGTCACCACTGTTTCCACAAGATCCTTACCAAAAAGCTAAAGTTCGATTCTGGGCTTCATACATCCACCACGTATTATCACACTCTCAAATACACATTAAGCAAACAAATCCATCTAATTTTTGTTTAGTAGACTATAAAAAACAACAATTATTCCATTAAATAAACAAATTTATTTCATCGACATCTTCACCGTCTTCATTAACTGAGAGAGCAGGTAAAGAACATGGCCATGAATGATTCCGGCGATGCCACCTTTTAAAAAAAAATAAAACCCAGATCGTGATCGGAAATAGATCTGGCAAGTCCGGTATGGCGGTATCCATTTAATTATTAATATTAATAAAGATAAAGGGAATGGGTTGCACCGTAAATTAAATAATAATCATTTTTAAAGTTGAGGGTAAATTAATCTAAATATCTCAAAATTTGTTATCTAACTACATATACACTTTGTATTTAAAATCTAATACATAAAATCCTTATATTATAGAATTCCAATACAAATATTTGTTTCAATGATAGTTAAAGGATCAAATATACCTTTAAGTTATTCAAATTGGTCAGTTTTATCTTAATCTTTGTTATGCTTTTAGTTCAAAAATATCCTTATCAATATGTTTTGGTTCAATTATGTCCTACAACTAGCAAAAATGTAATTCAAATAAACCTCTTTTTCTATTGGTTGCTCCAACATAAAAAAATGGATCAATGTTTTTTTTTTTTTATGGATGGGTAAGGTTTGAATGTGTTGGACATATAATAACACTAGAAAGGAAAGGCCCGTGCTTAACACATGCCCAACATTTTATAAAGAATCAAATCAATGATAAAATTGCACAGAGGTACACAAAATTACAACTACTTATGAAAAACAAAACGGATATAAAACCAATAATGTCCAGTAACACTGGACTTATCCAAGCAAATTCATAACAAACATTCCATGTCGATTATCACTTTATAGTAACAAACCATCAAAACATATCACTATATCTTTCTTGGTCTTTCGGCTAAGCTCAAAGTTGTGAAAGCAGTTAGATTCATTTGAATGTTGACCTAATAGCTTTATAAAAACATGAAAATTTCATCATCTTCAACTTCCACAGCTGCCACAATGGCATAGTTGGAGTTCATGATATAACTACTTGAATTGATTTAGAATCCAAATGTCCAGACAACAGATCGTAATAGTGGTCACTCTAGCCACCAAATAGCTTAGACCTTGAGAGTAAAATAATGAACCATAACGGTCAAATACTCAACTACAAATGAGCACACCTGAAAATTATATGACAATGACATAAATGAGTGAACAAATAAGTATATTAAATTAATAATTGGAATGGCATTGATCAATAGGAAGCTGTTAAGTGGAGTGCATTCATATATATCATGTAGAATAGAAGAAGATTAAGGGCTGAAATTACTATTTTATTTTCACAAGACATGTCTTTACTTATGTGAATTTTTTTTTCAAGATATACCTTCTTAGAGTTCACAGTAAAGTTACAATCAAACATAAAATTTAGGCAAGTGACGATTAGATATGTTGGCCTATGAAATAAGTCCAGAAAAGTGGAGGCGAATTCTAAATTTGATGTCGAAAGGAAAGAGGAAAGGGTCTATCTAACTTAAAAGTCCAAAAAGGAAAGTTTCTCATCCAAGTTCCATTTTTTGAATAGGCTACTACCAGGCAACGTGCTCTTACTTTATGGGTTGTTAATAAATCGATTTTAAAAAGAGAAATGGACCATGGCAAATAATTGATCAAAGGATATGCTTACATAACTCCATGAAATATAAATTGTTGACAAACCAGTACTCTTAATTGAGTAAAAACTCTCGAATATTTGGCAGACAAATATTCTTTCAATAAAAGCAATAACTGCATATCAAAAAAGAAAAATCAATTGAAAAGAACTTTATACGAAGCAACACACATACACAAAGAGAATTCTTATTGAATCACATATCAGGATCTAAAAGAACATCACACAATGGACTTGCAGCTTTCACAAAAGACTACAAAATTTTTAGTCAAAACTGCGTATTGCAGAATTGTATAATTCATGTAGTACCCTATGAAATACATTAAAATATGAACGTTGCATCTTGAAGATATTTAATAATCTACATAAATTAATATTGCACTATAAAATGTATTGAATATATATGTGATTGCTCCTGACATATGCACATCACTATCATAGCCAAAAAAATTCATTTCACTATTTCTTTAAACAAAACAAGATTATGTAAACACTCATTCAAGATCCAACTGATCAAATTCCGTTGTGAAAGACTTTTCCTTTTTTTAAGATTCATCATGATATATATACCTGATGTTGATACAACCAGTTAGAAGTTAAGCTTTTTTTTTTTGGTTAAAATTAGGATTTCATTTAACCAAAATATCGTCTTTACAATGCTACCAACTCTTTTTGACTCAAAGTTGGTTGTCTCAAACAAATAACTTTCATCTATACAATCAATCTACTACACTTCTCCTCTCTCTACCTTTATGAGGTAGGGATAAGATCTGCGCATACTATACTCTCTCCATACCCCACTCGTGGAATTTCACCGAATATCTTCTTATTGTAGATAATGTAAAAAATTTACACCAATGGTATATATAACTTGAACTTTTTTCGTTGCAAAACTAAGCTCAAAATATATGTTTGAACATACTTGTTTCTCTACTGATCATTCGTGTTTCTTTTGATGCAGATAAAATCCCTAGCAAGAGCTTTGAGAATTTTACAAAAGAAATTTAATGTCTACAACTTATGAAGTAATATCTGACGATTGTATGTTGCTTAAATTAGTACCTTATTTTGTGTATTTGAATTGTTTGTTTTGTGATTCGTAAGAAATTTGAACTTATGATGAGCTTAGAAAGTATGTTGAAGTTCACTCTTTATAAGTTTTTGAGAAACTATAGCCCTCAAAATCAATAGAAATAGGCACTGATAAACCAGCAAATCCGACTTATACGGAATGAATACATATAAATTTTCTGAAGATGATCGTGAATACAGAAAAAATTTGTGAAACAAAAGTAACCAAATCAGTGAATTATAAGGACCACCAGAAGTACTTATAACGTGAAACGAAAGTAAAAATAAGGATGTTGATAATTCGGATGGAGAGTTAGGTAGAGTGAAAGCTCAAAGACAGGAAAAATACTTGCATCAGAGTACTGACATATGAAATCAAAAAGATTTACAGGGCTATCCTACTTAGATATTTAGGCAAGATGAGAAGTGTAGTTTGATGGTAGCTAAATGGGCTAAGTTCCATTTAGCTTTATTTAAACTTTCAAGAAGATGATCAAATTGAGAGCTTAAAATAAAGTGAGTGTGCCAAAATTCTTCTTGTTCATCAAATAAGATAACTTGGGCACATCATCAAACAAACACCTTGAGTGAATATTCAAGATGGTTTAATTTTCAACAGGACGATTTGATTATGCACTAATTAGGTAATAACAAAGACAATTTATCAAAGAGATAATACATGTGCTAATCGGGTACTAGACTAACATGCAAGTCAAAATTTAAGAAAGAAATTATCATAAATACAAAAAAATCGCATCCACTTTTGGAGCCCCTCGCATATTATGATTATCAATAAAGCAAGACTCTAAAAAAGCAATCAATTTTTGGTTCAATTAGAATAGAGAGGGGCAGAAGAATCGAAGAGAACATACTTTTAAAGCTGAACCGAAGCAGGTGAGAAGAGATATTTTTCTCTTTTTTTTTTCACAAATCTAACAATCCGAATTGCGAAGTAGACCATATTAGTCGAAGAACAAATTAAGTTTTGAAACTCTCAAATAAATAATGTGTCTATCGTTCTCCACTACTGATAGCTTAATCTTCATCCTCAATGATCTAGGTGCCAAGTCCCTTCAATCCCTCTGGTGGGATCTCAGTTACAGTAACCAAAGAGTAGAGCTCTTCTGTCACGATCCGAGTCTACACCCTGAATGGGGTCGGCACTTAAGAACCATTGCTGGTCGCCAAGCGAGCCCTCATCCTGGCTGACTACAAGAGGAAGACTAACATAAGCATGCAAAAGCTAAAAACTGAATAAAATTCAATAAACTCAACTTTTCAAAACTTTAACTCAAATGAACAACTTAGAATAAAAATAATATATTCAACTCGCCATAAAATAGGCAACTTAAGTCTTTAAAACATTTAATAAAATAAAGGAATAATGCAGACTTCTCAACTATACTGACTATCTATGAAGCCTCTGACTGATAAAGATGGAAGTCGGGACAAGACCCACGACATCCTGACTAAACTGAAAAGTAAATGAAATCCTCCGGAAAGAAGGAGGCTCACCATAGCTAACTCAAACTTCCGAATGTATCAACAAAGCTCTTGTTGATGATCCTGAATACATGTTTCTGCATCATGAGAAGATGCAGGTCAAATGGCTCAGTACGTGGAATGTACGAGCATGTAAGAGGAATTCTAAAGTATAAATATAAGCTTGAAACTTGATAAAAAAAGAAACATACTTACCTCTTCCCAAACTGACTCAACTCAAGGAATACTCAAAACTACTCAAACTTACTCAACTCAGAACTACTCAAAGATACGATACTCAACTCAGAACTACTCAAAGATACGATACTCAACTCAGAGATTAGATACTCAAGTCAAAGATATGATACTCAACTCAAACATATGATATTCGACTCTGGATACTCAACTTAATATAAAGCAACAACACACATGCAATAAATGGAAAGCTTTATAAAATAGTAAAACCAACTTAGTTCGTTAAAGAAAATGCAATAACAAACTCAACTTTACTTATATAATAAAGTAATATAGTTTATGTGGGAGATTCTTTAACCGACAACCATCACTATGAGCCTAAGTGATGATACAATGTTTTACCTAACGCTGCCAAGGATCGTCCTATACCTTGCCGGGGGTATAGAACCTGACTCACTAAGTGGATCCACTAGTCTATGCTAAAAGCATCTTAAGGAGTCATCTAAAAAGTATGATCCTTTACTACCCATGATGGTTACATGGTTTATGGAG